TTTTTTTTTTTTTTTTTTTTTTTTTTTTTTTGAGATGGCATCTTGCTAGATCTCCCAGGCTGGAGTGCAATGGCGCAATCTCGGCTCACCACAACCTCCGTCTCCTGGGTTCAGGCAATTCTCCTGCCTCAGCCTCCTGAGCTGGGATTACAGGCACGTGCCACCATGCCCAGCTAATTTTTTGTATTTTTAGTAGAGACGGGGTTTCACCATGTTGACCAGGATGGTCTCGATCTCTTGACCTCGTGATCCACCCGCCTCGGCCTCCCAAAGTGCTGGGATTACAGGCTTGAGCCACCGCGCCCGGCTTTCTTTTATATTCTTAATTATCAATGCCCATAAAGAGCTTTTGTTTATGTTGATTTTATTTATTTCTATTTACTGTATTAGGAAATAAAGCCAAGAAATCTAAAAAATATTTGTTAGTTTATTAAAAATAACTATGATAAACTCATATGAATATAAGTACACTATTATGAAAATAAGTATTTTTTGAAACAAAATAACTACAGTGAGAAGAGTAGCATTGTTTTACAGTTTTTGCAAATCTTAACGGTTGACTTAACAGAAGACTGGATTCTTATGTCTGCTTTTGCATTCAATCTATTTCATTATTACATGTCATACACTCTCTGGAAAACTCCAGCATATACTCATGAGAAAATAAAAGTGAAAAAGGTAAATATTATAGTAAGATCACTAAATTGTAGATACAGGTAACAAATGCCAGATGATAAGGATCCTGACAGGTTGAGTCATAGATTGTATTAAACAAGCATCTCCTCTTTTTTTTCTGTTTGAAACTTGTACACTAATAGAATTGTAAGGGAACTGAAAACCATATGGATCATTGAAGAAATACAAATCAAAACCATAATTAGATACTGCTTCACACCCACTAGGATGGCTATAATTAAAGAGACAATAACAAATGTTGACGAGGATGTGGAGAATTTTAGAACCTTCATATGCTGCTAGTGGGGATGTAAAATAGTACAGTCATCTGGCAGTTCTTCAAAAGGTTAAATGTCACGTTATATGACCCAGCATTTCCACTCCTAGGTTTGTAGTCAAGAGAATTGAAAGTGTATATCCACACAAATATTTGTACATAAATATTCATAGCAGCATTTTCATAATTGCCAAAAAGTGGAAATAACAAAATATCCAATCAATGAATGGATAAGCAAAATGTGGTACATTAATACAATGAAATGTTAATCAACAATAAATGGTAATGAACCACTAGTACATGTTACAACATAAATGAACATTCACAACATGCTAAGTGAAAAGCTCACCACAAAAGCCCATATATTGTTTGATCTCATTTAGATAAAATGATCAGAATAGGCAAATCCATAGAGGTGGAAAGTAAATTAGTGGTTGCCAGGGGCTGGGAGCAGTGGAGAGTGGAGAGTGATTGCTAATGGGTATGAGGTTTCTTTTTTTTTTTGAGACGGAGTTTCACTCTTGTTACCCAGGCTGGTGTGCAATGGCGCGATCTCGGCTCACCGCAGCCTCCGCCTCCTGGGTTCAGGCAATTCTCCTGCCTCAGCCTCCTGAGTAGCTGGGATTACAGGCACGCGCCACCATGCCCAGCTAATTTTTTGTATTTTTAGTAGAGACGGGGTTTCACCGTGTTGACCAGGATGGTCTCGATCTCTTGACCTCGTGATCCACCCGCCTCGGCCTCCCAAAGTGCTGGGATTACAGGCTTGAGCCATCACGCCCGGCGAGGTTTCTTTTTAGGAGATGAAAATATTCTAAAATTGGATAGTGGTAGTGGTTGCACAACTGTGAATACACTAAGAACTGTTCAATAGTACACATAGAAAGAAAAAGTATAGAATCTAGGCAGTTTCTTGTGGTTATTGCTTGACCAGCAGCCCCTTCAAGGGAGGATTGGTTCTGTTTCACATCTCACTTACCTTATGGCTGTGTGCTCCTCATTCTATGTCCAAACCATTTCTTCGTCTCTTTTCTTGCAAAAAGCCTGCTCTTTGGGGGATTCTGGCTTATTCTCATCTCTGAATCCCCTAGTGATTCCTCATCATTCCTTGAAGCTATTAGGGTTTGGATCAGCCAGATCCCAACAACTGTCTTTGTTTTTGTTGGCTTCTATACCCCTGTGTATTACCAGTCCTACAGTTGGCCTTCATGTTTCTAACTTCTTCCTGTCTCAAGACCGTTTCCTTAATTTTGCTTTAGCCACTCACTCCTTATATCCTCAATTCTGACCTCCTAAATCGCAAATGCAAACATTCCACTCTATGATCATGCTCTTTTTCATTTTCCTTGCTCATTAATCTTACTACAGCAGTCCTCAGTAACATCTTTACCACTAATCCCAAAATGTGTGCATGCCTGCACGGTAGCACAGACACACGAAAGTGTTGAATGAGAGGGAGAATTTATCCTGGAATAAAAATTTCTTTGCCAAGAATGAAATGTAGAAAGTAGGATAGATTTAGCCATTGTAATTCTCAAGACCATAATGAGGACCAGTGTGTTGAAATTATAATAGTGAAACCAATTTAATCCAAATTATCTGCAAATATTTTCTGATAACTAAAGCTGTCCCATAATTGAAGTGATCCTCTGTAGACTAGTGAGTGCTTAATTACTAAAAGTATTCAAGCAAAATGTGGTTCTCTCTTTGATTGAGATGTGGTACAGCAGGGACTAGCAAACTTCTATAAAGGGTTATTAGGCTTTGCAGGCCATGGGCTCTGTTGTATGTAGCTTTTCACTTCTGCCATTAGAGCATGAAAATAAAAGCCATAAACAATATGTAAACCGATTGGCATAGCCATGTTCTAATAAAACTTTGTTTACAAAAATAGGCAGGCAGCAGGCCAGATTGAGCCTGAGCTTATAATTTGCTGATCTCTGCCACAGCAGATGTTCCTTCATCATTGTTTGGGGGTTTGTACAGGATGAATTCTATAGGTTTTTTTTTTTTTTTTCTTTCAACAATGCTTTTGGAGAAAGAATTTCTACAGGTTCTGTCTCTTCTTAAGGAGGACACAAGATAGGCATTTGATATTCCACATTTTGCTAAGTAAGTAGTATTTGGCTACATTTGAGGAAAAGGGAATATAGTTTTATTGATTAAAGAAGGCTAATTTTCAGAAGCACAGGCTACTACTTTAGATTATAAGAATTTACTACCTGTTAAAATAGCTCTGATTGTGGAGAATGTTAAATTGTATTTTAAACAATTTACGTGCCTTCCCTGTATTTGTCATCAGTTGGAGCAGAATTCACTAGGCTTAAGAATTTAATAAATAAATAACTATACTAAAAAATTACTGAAAGTCTGAAATATACATATATATATATATATATATGCCCCTACCTGTTTTAATGTGCTTTTGTATATTATATATTATTATTTTAAAAGTTATAATATTCGTAAAAACTGTTGAACAGGCAACAATTTAAAAACTCTAAACCATAGTGTTCTTTTATTTTGTTTTAACAGAAACATACCACTTTTGAGCAACCTGTCTTTTCAGTTTCAAAACAGTCACCGCCAATGTCAGCTTATAAATGGTTTGATCCAAAATCTATTTGTAAGACACCAAGCAGCAATGCCTTGGATGATTACATGAGCTGGTAATTACTTTTGGCCCCTTGCTTGATTGGCAGGGTGGTATGATAGAATTAAGATGGGCTTCTGGGTCAAATAAATCTGGGATTAAATCCTGCTCTTTTACTTTAAAGATTTTCCAACTTCATATTATTTTCTCAGTATCAGTGTTTTCATCTATGAAATAGGAAGGGAAAAGTGGTGTAATAATGCATATTTTTAAGTATTGTTGTGAATGTAGTCTCTGTCATGTTGAAATCTTTACCTACAACCTATAAATACTCTGAGGATGCAAAACTTCTTGATAATCTTGTATTGCCATACATATATCTCTACTGAGAGAGAGATTTTAAAGATGAGCATTCTTAGAGTGGATAAAGGGTAGATGAATTTTTTTTTTTTTAACAAAAGTGATGTTAATTGGAAAGTGATAGCTTCTGGAAGAGGTTGGTTGTTACAGTTCATCTAGTTCTGGGGGTATTCAAAGGTGTAGTACTTGAGTATAGGAATGATGGATGAGTGAAGAAATTGGACAATCAGTGTGCTGATTGACAGGGAACACAAGGGATACTACAAAAGAAAATGAATGCCATTTCAGAGAAAGGAAATAAAGGGATTGGATACATTATAACCATCAACTAGTGGCTATATCTTTAATGTCTTAGGGGATAGCTTAAGTCCATGTCGTCTTTTGCGTTTCATTTTCATAATGTTATCCTTGATCTTAATTAGAACTGGCCTTAAAGATTTTATAACCTAGCCTCTTACCTACTTAATGTAGTTTTACTATATGTTGCCTCATTTTATTATATGTAGAATATTTTAAAGAATTATTGCTAACTAAAATAGTGATAATAGATTTGTGATACTAGGTTAGTTATTATTAAATATTTTTGGAGCTCTTTCGTGCCAAGCAGTGTTCTAGATGTTGAGGATATATTAACAGCAAACAAGGCAAAGCACAAATGTATACTGAACAGATTTAAGCTCAAAGGCCAAAATCCTCTGATGTAATTGGCTTTCTGTTATTTCTAGCAGGCCATATAGAACATTATTGTTTAAAAAAAAACTGAATAAAATCTATGACTGGCCATAAGCTGACATTTGCTAAATTCATATAAAATAACCCCAACTACTTTGTATTTTAAATGTCATCTTCTTTTTCTTACAAACAAGGATTTCTTGTCTGCATACAAATATTTACTTTCAGAAAGAATTCCCCAAAATTAAATATCTGGTAGTGGCATATCTGAAATAAACATCAGCTATATTATGAAAACTAAGTTGGGTTCTGTTTGATGTAACACTTTTAAGTTTATTTTAGCCTTTTAAAATAAATGAAAACTGAATGAGAATCTTACTTGTTAAATTGTAATGTTTTAAATTAAAAAAAATCTTTCCCAGTTTTAGAACTCCAGTTGTAACAGACAACTTTCTACCTGCTTGTCAGTTGTCAACACCTTATGGCCAACCTGTCTGTTTCCAGCAGCAACAGCAGCAAATACCTGCTACTCCACTTCAAACTTTACAGGTTCGGATCAGTTTTACAGATTTTATTTTTATAGCATCTAGTTGTCAGGAAAGGTCTTAAGAACTTGGCCATTCTTAAATCCACTAGGCAAAACTTTTCTGATATCCTATTAAGAGTGTGCCTTGTGGCTTTGAGAGGTTTGCTACTGAGGAAGCTAATGAAGCTACTCCTTAACTAGGCCAAAGAATACAGTTGAAGAGCTGGTTAAAATTTCTTTATAATAAAGGTTAGTTTTTATTTTTATTTTTTTTGAGACGGAGTCTTGCTCTGTTGACCAGACTGGAGTGCAATGTTGCGATCTCAGCTCACTACAACTTTTACCTCCCAGGTTCAAGCGATTCTTGTTCCTTAGCCTCCTGAGTAGCTAAGATTACAGACACGTACCACTACACCTGGCTAATTTTTGTATTTTTAGTAGAGACAGGGTTTCATCATATTGCCCAGGCTGGTCTCAAACTCCTGGCCTCAAGCCATCCATTGACCTCGGACTCCCAAAGTTCTGGATTGCAGGCATGAGCCACCCTGCCCAGCCAGGGTTACTTTTTGTTGTGTTTATATCAGCTGGTAGTGAGCAGCTTCATTTTATTTGTTAGTATACAATTCATTTGGAAATGTACATTTTCAAAATATTAGAATAGCAATATGAGGTACTGCTAGAATGTGTTATAGTAATAACTATAAGAAGAAAGATTTTTTGCTGATGAGGCGAAAGTTAGTTTCTAATAACTGTCCTAGAGGCAGCTTAATACTGGTAGAAAACATGGACCTTTAAGACACTGGGCTTGAATTTTGGCCTCACTGCTTACGGTCTGTGTGATCTTTTGAAAATTACCTAAACTTTCTGTGCCTATTTCATCCTCTATAAAATTAATAAAGCTAATTACCTCAAGGATGGTTGTAAAGATTAAATTAGTTAATATATATGTAACTCTTAATACAGAATATGACACTTAGTAAATCAGAAATGTTAGCAGGTATTGTTATTTAAATAAAACAAAAAACCCATGAGTAATTAACTATAAAAATCAACTGATAAAATTGGTTGACAGAATAAGAACAGTAGTTACCAGGAAAGAGAGAGGGAGAAATGGTGAGTTGCTGTTTAATGGATATAGAGTTTCAGTGGTGATATTTGTGCCACCATCCGTCTCCAGAACTTTTTCATCATCACATACTGAATGTACTTAATGCCACTGAATTGTACTTAAAAATGGTTAAAGCGGTAATTTGTATTATGTATAATTTGCATAATTTGAAAGAATAATGGACAAAACAATGAGCTGACAGTAGATATTAACTGGAAAGAGGTGATAGCGTTTTGAGGATTGAAACAATATAATAAATTAGAAAGAAAAAATGCTCAAGTTTGTTCATGCATTGATTCAAAACACATGTATTTAGCTGTTACTAGTGTCAGGCCCCGTTTGATTTGCAGTCTAGAAGACAAGTCACAGATAATAAGTGGAGGGGCTTGGTGGGGCCTTCTAGAAGAGGCCAGTGTCAGGAGAGAACTGAAATGAGGCCACAGTGTGGCTGCAGCTTACGAAGGGGAAGGGGTGAGGCCCAAGGTTTGCTGGACCCTTAAGTTTTACCCTAGAGGGTGGGAAGCTTTGGAAGAGGCTGAAGCAGAGAACTGAAATGACCCAAATTGCATTTTGGAAACTCTAGCCACTGTAAGGGCCAACTAAGGGGGATGTGGGATGTCCTGTGTAGGAAACGAGCTCACATTAGTGTTGAATCAGAAATAAGATAGAATTATTTTATTCTAAAAACTGTCAGCAGCCATGGGAAAAGGACATTGAACTGCTTTCTTCCCTCAGAAACATTCACAGTTTGAAATATGAAATGAAGATGAGAGAGAGGAGGCACAAAAGGAAGGGGGGGAACCTTGATGAAATTACAATACATACACGTTTAGAAGCCCAATACTTTCTTACAGGAAATAAATATATATTGACTCAACAGTGTATCTCAGTCCTAGAGGTGAGAAAATTAGAATATTTATCTTTTTATTTAAATAGAAGATTACATGAGATTCTACCATTTGGAACCCAAAGCAGGCCTTAGTTAAATTGAGGTTTATTCAGACCTTGTTTCAACTTGGTTAATCAGCTAATCAGGAGCTCTTTTTGTTTCAACTTCTTTATCAGCTCAGAATAAGTCCTCTCAGCACTCCATCTGTTCAGAGCATTTATAGGTACACAGAGAGATCCTCCAGTATAAGGGAAGAGATGATGAAGCAAATTGTACAGTACATCAACTGAAAAGTTTGCTGGGGAAGATGCTGAGGTTCTAAAAAATTAACTTGTTGAACATCACTCAGCACAAAGTGGGGGACTATATTAATCAGTTCTCACACTGCTATAAAAAAAAAAAATACCTGAGACTGTAATTTATAAAGAAAAGAGGTTGAACTGGATAATGGTTCCTCAGGCTGTCCTGGAGGCATGATGCTGGCAATCTGCTTGGCTTCTGGGGAGGCCTCAGGAAACTTTCAATCATGGCAGAAGGTGAAGGGGAGCTAGGCACTTCACATGGATGGAGCAGGAGGAAGCAAGAGAGTGGGGGGAGGTTCCACATACTTTTAAACCACCAAATCTCTTGAGAACTCTCAGAGAAGCACTGAGGGGGAGATCGACCCCCATGATTCAGTCACCTCTCACCAGGTCCCACCTCCAGCATTAGGAATTACAATTCCACATGAAATTTGAGTGGGGGTACAAATCCAAACCATATCAAGGACATCACTGAAATGTGCATTTGTTTGATTGACCCTGGAGCTCTTAATACCTTTAGCACATTGCTTCTTTTATAATATAACACTAAATGAGAAAGAAGAATACAGATACAGCTGACAGTAGTGGCACGCCCGTAATCGCACCTACTTGGGAAGCTGAGACAGGAGAATTGCTTGAGCCTGGGAGGCAGAGGTAGTGGTGAGGTGAGATCACACCACTGCATATCAGTCTGGGAGACAGAGTGAGACCCTGTCTCAGAAAAAAATATATAGATATAATTATGTGTGTGTATATGCACATATGAAAGTAAAGAGGTATAGGGGAAAAGATAGAAAATAAAAATGAAAAATTAATTTTTTATTATATATATATTTTTTAAAGTTTGTAAGTTTGCAGATTGCATACTAAGTGTTTTTTTCTCCTTAAGAATTATCTTTTTAAGTCAAAACCAGTTAAAGGGGGAGACCTTGGAAGTTTGTCTATATTATTTTTTAAGGTTTTTCTCTTTGGTTAAAGTATGTAGAGCAAGTCCTTTTAAAAATATTGTAACATTTCTACTTAAGATTTAAGATAATTTCAAAATGGGAAGCAGTTGACTGTACCAAATGTAAGCTAGTTTCTTAGGCATATTCTTTGAACTTTTATTTATACATTTTACTTATTTAGGTTTTAGCATCCTCTTCAACAAATGAATGCATTTCAGTTAAAGGAAAAATTTATTCCATATTAAAGCAGATAGGACGTGGAGGTTCAAGTAAGGTAAGTATCTTAAATATTTACAAAATAAATAGAAATATTTTAAACTTTCTGGGTTTTTTTGGTCTTTACCTGTGAGGGCAGCTTTTCCTTAACTTTTAGGGGCCATGTTGCCCTTCAGCCAAAAAGCCATCTTAACACCTCCCCTTCTCTTCCCACACCCTCCCTCACATGTGACATACCCTCTTTAGATCTCTTATTCCCAGTCTCCTGCCTTTCCTTTTAATGTCCTATGCTTCCATATTTCTTCTTTAATAATAAAAATATTGACATGGGGTAGCAAATGACCACTATGTATTACCACAAAAGAACCAGAAATTTCTGAGTCAGAATGTGTTGTAATATGTTTAGACTCATTCAGCAAGGATTTTCACTAATGGATTTGTTTTGTTTTGAGCTTTTCATTTCAGAAACAGAATTCAGTAACAAATGAGTTTCTGAAATTAGATTATTTTCTAAATTTACCTGCGTTCTAAATTTATATCGTTTCTACATCTCTGGATAGAGGGCATCTTAGGCATACCTAAACTTACCATCTTTGTCATTCAATTAAATCTACTTCTGTTAGATTTTTGCCTTCATCACTCACCAGAATAACTGTAATCAAGACCACTAATGACCCCCACGTTTTTGCCAAATCTAATTCTTTGCTTAGATTTTGGAATATGTAGCATTTGGGACAGCTGATTGTTTTTTCTCATTTAAGTTTTTTTTCCCCACTTCGTTCGTGGTTTTTTTCCTTCTCAAACTGGCTACGCCTACTATCTTCCTCATGTTTCTGATCTCAGTGAAGCAGTGCTCCAGGGCTTAGTCCTCATTCATCTTTTTCTTTTTCTTTTCTTTTTTTTTTTTTTTTTTTGACACCGAGTCTCACTGTGTCGCCCAGGCTGGAATGCAGTGACGCGATCTCAGCTCACTGCAACCTCCAGCTCCCTGGTTCAAGCAATTCTCCTGCCTTAGCCTCCCAAGTAGCTGGGATTACAAGCACGTGCCACCATGCCCAGCTAATTTTTGTAATTTTAGTTGAGACGGGGTTTCACCATGTTGCCAGGATGGTCTCCATCTCCTGACCTTGTGATCCACCCGCTTCAGCCTCACAAAGTGCTGGGATTACAGGTGTGAGCCACCACACCCGGCCTCTTTCATCTTAAACTCACTCCGTTGCTGTTCACTTTCAATCTTGTGGTTTCAGATACTATGTATATGCTGACAGTTCCCAAACTTGTATTTCCAGCTAATACCTCGCCTTTGAATTCCAGAGTTGTATATTCAACTTGACTGTTTAACATCTCTTCTTGGTGACTGCTGGGCATTTAAAACAGTATGTCCAAACACAACTCTTGCTCTGTAGCTTTTCCCATTTCAGTAAATGGCAACTTCATTCTTGCAACTGATTGACCAAAAAATTGGTGTCTCTCATTCTCTTGCACACATCTAGCCAATCAGCAAATCTTGTTGGTTCTACTTCAAAGTATCTCCAGAATGTATTTCTCATTATCTCCAGCGTTACTGCTTTGGTCAGCGCAACTTTTGTATTTTCACCTAAATTATTTTAATAGCCTCCTAAAGGATTTCATTGACTCAGTCTTTGCCCTCCTGGTCTACTTTTTTTTTAATTTTATATTGACAAATTATAGTTGTATATTTTTATGGGGTACAAGGTGGTATTATGATGTTTTAATACAATGTGGAATGATTAAGCTAATTAACATCTATTGCCTCAAATTTTTTGTGATGAGAACATTAGAAATTGACTCTTTGCAATATTGAAATGTATAATTTCCAATTATCATATTCATCATGCTATGCTAATGATCTAAAAAAAAAGTCAAACTTGTTTCTCCTATTTGAGTCTTTGTATCCCTTCACCAACATCTTCCCATTTCCCTCAACCTCCAGCCTTTGGTAACCACCATTGTCAAAGGTGGTATAAGCTCTGCTTCTATGAGTTTAATTGTTTTAGATTTCACATATAAGTGAGAACATGAGGTATTTGTCTTTCTGTGTTTACCTTATTTCAGCTCCTCCTGATCTTTTTTTTTTTTGAGAAGGAGTCTCACTCTGCCGCCCCAGCTGGAGTACAGTGGCACAATCTTGGCTCACTGCAACCTTCACCTCCCGGATTCAATCGATTCTCTTGCCTCAGCTTCCTGAGTAGCTGGGATTACAGATGCCTGCCAGTATGCCCAGCTAATTTTTTGTATTTTTTGTAGAGACGGGGTTTTACCATGTTGGCCAGGCTGGTCATGAACTCCTGACCTTGTGATTCTCCCACCTCACCTCCCAAAGTGCTGGAATTACGTCACTGTGCCCAGCCCTCCTCCTGGTCTATTTTAACATTACATCCTATTTTCCTCCAGATATCCCCATGTGTTTTCTGAGTTAGGACTTCCTTGCCCACACTCTAAAACTGCAACTCCCACCTTCCAATCACTGATGTTCTTTATTCCCCTCCTGTTTTGTTTTTCTCTGTATCTTACCTTCTAACATGTTCTGTAATTTACTTATTTGGTTTACTGTTTGTGTCCCCCTGCACTTGAATGTATGTGAGCTCCATGAAGATAGGGATGTTTGTCTGATTCGCTCAGTGATATTAGCCCCAGTGTCTAGAACAGTACCTAGAACAGGTAGGGACTGAATTGATTAGTTAATGAATAAACTCTCAGTTTTCAGCAGTTTTGCTATTATAAGTTGTTAAGGATGATACATTAAACAAACACTGTTTGACTGATTTTAAGTTTTACTGTAATTTCCTAATCTAGCTAACAGTAATTAGACTTGCATAAGGCTGTCTTACTAACTATGAAAGATAAGGTATGTGCATTACCATGTGTATCAAGTCTTCAATAAATATTGGTTTCATTATACATTTCCTTTTATCATTCTGTTTGAATTACCTAATTGCTTTCATAGAAATTACTTGGTTAATATTTATTATTTATTTGTTATTTGGCTATATTTTAGTAGTACCAAAGTATTGACACTTACTAGAGGTATTTAGTGATATGTTTTCAGAGAATGTAGAGTAGTCTTAATGGCATTTTGAACATTTTTTTCCTTGGAGTATAATGAAGATGTGAGCTTATTTCAGTAAAGGGCCAAGTGATAAAGCTATGACTGACCCATATTTTCTGAATTTAATTTAATTGTTATTTAAGTTAATTATGATAGACTTGAAAAAATCAAATGCCCCAGAGAAAAAGATAGTAACATGCTTTATAAAACTAATGCAATTTGTGCTGTGCCCGTTTCAGAGTTTAGGCAGTGAGCAATTTTTAAGGAGGCTATTAAGAGTATCTAGAACAGTCATGGGGTTAATGAGCATGGTCAAGATACTGGTAACTTCTCACAAAACTAACAAATCATCACTTGATACTGTCTCTATGAAATTGAAATAAGGCTAACCTGATCCAGATGCAAGAGTTTTGCCAGAACAGGGACAGTGGGGGCAATAATAAACTCATTCGTGCAAAAAGTTAATTTAAAAGTTTTTATTTGTTCACTTAAAGATCTTATTACATAAATAGCTTTAATATCCTGTATGCTTTTTTTCTGATATATCTGATAACTTTAACATGTTTTAAAATGTCCACTTTATTCTGTCCTGAATGTCTTTAGTGATGGTAGCTCACATTTGCTTCGCTTCAGACACACTGCAGAACACTCTGCAGACATCATTCATTTGAGTCATCCTTCCAACCATGTGCAGTAGGTACTACTAACAGCATTTGATTTTTGAGAGGTTAAGGGGCTTGCCTAAAGTTAGGTTGCTGATAAGGTTGGAGCTGCAGCTTCAATTCAGGTATTTCCCTCTAGTCTTTCATCTTTAAATTTTAGTCTTTCTATCTTTTTATGATACAAAGCTATTTCATTGTACAGATACACCACCAGAACATACAAATAAGATTTTAGCTATTAGATTCAGGGTCATGGGTTTATGAGGCTGTTTACCTTTTACAAAATGGCTTTATGCTGCTATTTTTAAATTCCTATCTGTTTTATTGTTATTTTCTTCTCCCTCTTATGCCCCATACCCCTCTAATTTTCTGTGTGTCGAACTAAAACCAGTAATACTTCATTAGAGTCTTATACCTAAAAATTAAAAGCACGCTATACCTGAGGGGCCTGATAGATTTTCCTTGTTAGTGCAGTTTTAGCACATCAACCTCATGAACACTTGGGCTCTTTTCTTATTCCTTCCCTGTATCTGCTGGATGTTCAAGGTTAAATGAATTTTTACTTACATATGTCAAAGGGGATATATGAATATAATTTTTCTTGTATACATTGGCATTTTGTATTTGAATTGAGTTTTAAAAGCACCATCCCTGTTGCATATTTGCTGAAAGCTACATTTGCAGTGTTTTCTATTTTTAAAAATGTTATCTGTCCTAAAACGTTACTTAGAATTTGACTGTTCATTATAGTCAGAGCAATTGGACTTTGACGTCAGAGATCCTGACAACATACAAGAACATCTTGTTCCTGCCAACTTGACTTTGAAAATCGGACCTACTCTGCTTTTCACAACTGGATATACTGATAGCTTATGATTAGTATATATTTTTTAATATTCTGTATCACATGAATGAAATTGCTAAATCCAGGCGCAATGGAGAAAACAACATCTGTGAATTGAATTGACTCTGTCATAACCTTTAGTCATCCTTCACTTTTCTTTTTCCTTGAGACAGTGTCTTACTATTTTGCCAAGGCTGGACTCAAACTCTGGGGCTCAAGCAATGATTCTCCCACCTCAGCCTTCTGAGTAGTTGGGATTAAAGGAGCACACCACAGACCAGGCTTGTCCTTAACATTTTGGAATGTCTTTTTCTTTATGCTGTTTCCCTGGTTAGGGCATCCCACAGATTGTTTTATATATGAAATTTAAATTATTTTTCTTACATGTTGATATAAAAACTTAGATTTATACCTTAAATTATTGAATGCCTATCATCATAGGTCATTGGAAACGGACTGTTACTCTCCAATGAGAATTACTTTTCTTCCTTCTAAACACAAAATAGGCCTAAAAACTTTTAATTGTTCATATCAGTATTTCCTTCAGAATTTTCTCCCAACCTAAAATTCTAATAAATTTAGAATCATTGCAATAGTGTATAAGTAGTATATTCTAAACTTCTCTTTGTTCTACTGTATAGGTATTTCAGGTGTTGAATGAAAAGAAACAGATATATGCTATAAAATATGTGAACTTAGAAGAAGCAGATAACCAAACTCTTGATAGTTACCGGAACGAAATAGCTTATTTGAATAAACTACAACAACACAGTGATAAGATCATCCGGCTCTATGATTAGTAAGAATTCTTTTTAAATTTAAAAAGAAAACTTTTGTCATTCTTCAGGTAAGTATTTAGTAAATTTTAATATAACCTTGCCATTTATTGTTTTGCTGCTTTTATTTGTTTAATTGCAGTGAAATCACAGACCAGTACATCTACATGGTAATGGAGTGTGGAAATATTGACCTTAATAGTTGGCTTAAAAAGAAAAAATCCATTGACCCATGGGAACGCAAGAGTTACTGGAAAAATATGTTAGAGGCAGTTCACACAATCCATCAACATGGTATTTAAAGGTTTTTTTATATTTGTGTGAAGGTTAAAATATTTGTTAACAGTGTCATCTTAGAGAAATACACTTACAACTTTAAGACATTGGTTATTGGCATCTTTAACTAGATGAACTAAATAATTAGAAGTTTATTTAAAGATGAAGGCACAAAACCATTTCTTAAAACACTGTTAACCCAAAGGATATAAGACGTGAACTCAAATTCTTAACATCTGTAATACAAAATGTTTTTTTCTCAGTATTAATGTAGTCTATCATCCTTATTTCCAGATACTTAGATTATAGCAGAACTGAGACTTTGAGGTTCAGGCATCCTAAAAATATGAGATGTTTATTTTACTCATTCTCCTAATCATTTTGTATTGTATGCCCTGTGTGAGAGCTGGATTTTTTGTTTGTTTGTTTTTTACTGTTAGGCCTACTTATGGGTTGGTTTTTACTTGTCCTTGGTTCTTTTTAGGGCTATTCTCTGCCTTATCCTGTTTTTTTTTTTTTTTTTTTTTTTTTTTTTTTTTTTTTAAATAACGGTTATCCTAGTTAATTGTAATTTATCTCCTCCTTATATCTCTCTTTCTATAAGTTAAAAGATAATTCAGTGATCAAGATCAGGGCTATAGGGATGGAGATGTCAGGAGCATTAGGGTCTTACTGTCAGGCAGTGTAATTTATGAGGCTCTCTAGTGGGCAGTGAATCCTGGTGGTTAAGAGGATAGATTCTGAAGCCAGACTGTCTGGCTTCAACTCATGGCACTGTCACTTAGGCTGTGTGACCTTGTACAAGTTAATTAAACTCTCATTGCCTTAGTTTCCTTGCCATACAATAGGGAAGATAATAATACTTCAGCACTGTTGTGGGGATTAAATGAGTCAGTACTATATAAACAACAAATTTAGAATAGTGCCTGGCACATAACAATTGCTATGTCAATGTTTGCAGAATATATGCAAAAATGAATATTGACTTGGAGTCACTAATTGAAGGAATAAATACAGCTTGACCTGTAGGTTGTGAGTTTTTTGGTCCTTAGAGTGTTTTACACTGTTTAATATTATAGTGGATTTTTATTTTAAAGGCATTGTTCATAGTGATCTTAAACCAGCTAACTTTCTGATAGTGGATGGAATGTTAAAGCTAATTGATTTTGGGATCGCAAACCAAATGCAACCAGATACAACAAGTATTGTTAAAGATTCTCAGGTAAGACTTTTAGTGGTTGGTTATCTCATGGTAGACTTCAATTCTTTTTTCGCCTGTAAAGTATTATTTTGCAAACGAGTGTTATATTTTTAATCAAGTCTTTTGATAAGAATAGATTTAAAAATATGAACCATGATCATTATAATTTAGAATAGAAAGTTAAGATCAAATATGACTATCTCTAGCAATTATGAATGGTTTTCCTATAGCTGAAATAGAGAAACAGTAATACCTTCCTTGGAAATCATTTGGTTGTGATCAAAAATTGACCTGAAAATTTGGCTCAGTTTCCTTGTTGGAAACAAAAAGGGAATAATTGCAGTTATATGTTTTTCATTGTCTTTGAGGTAAGATTATTTTTATTCTTCCTGAGAAGCAGACCTTTTCCAATCACTGAAATTAGAAGAAAAAAAAAAATTCTTAAATGGGCCTTCATATTGTAAATGCCATAAGAATTATAAGCAACGTTTTAATAATGGGTATTGCAACAGCGAACTTAAGGAAGTTGTTCTGTAAAAACTAAAGCAATGGCACCAAAGTATGTCTAAAAAATATCCTTGCTTGGAGCCAAGATGTTAATGTTCCATGTTTACAGATTTTTGATGTGAGTCCACCTAAATCCCAAGAGTAAAACTAGACTTTGCTGGGAGGATTCAATGGACAACATGTCCTTCAAACAATTCTATTTGATAGTCATGTCTCTTTATGTCAAAAGTATGGCAGAACAATGAGTTGTAAATCAGCCTGACAATATCTTCCAGGTCAAGGCCCTAAAGCAGAGATACTCTGTGTTTGAGAGCAAACCATTTGTTTTAGAATAACATGAGTCCATTGTAAGATTGGCCTATCTTACTGTAGAAACTGGGAGCACTGCTGTGAGACAAAGCTAGGTGGTCTTTTTGTTGATATATTGGTTGGCTTCTTTAAAAAATATACTTTTTTAAAGTTAAGTATGTTACAACACAGAAACGAACGGTTAAGTCCCTTGATGGCCTCAAAGTTTATGGTCATTAATAGGATTTTAGCCTGGACGGTTTTTAGGGCAGACTTTACTAGTTGCCCACCATAATCATAGAAGAAGCACAGCATTCTGAAAGGAGTCACTTTGCTGATTAGGAACCCAACTCATTTTGCTGCAGTTGTGAAGAAATTTGATATATATCTTAACATTGTCGGCAGTTATTTGAAGTTTGCAAGGATATAGTTTCCAAGGATCTAGCATTTGTATTTTTACAAATAGAATCTAAAGCAGAAGGAAGTGTTTTCATTGATTTGTGTTTTCTCTCACTTGGCAAATAGGTTGGCACAGTTAATTATATGCCACCAGAAGCAATCAAAGATATGTCTTCCTCCAGAGAGAATGGGAAATCTAAGTCAAAGGTACTGTAAAGATTATTTACATCCCATTTATCTGCACTATTTTCTGAATAAACTTACCAGATAACAATTTCTTTAAGTTCTAAAACTTTTTAGGCCATTACAGAGACATTGCTGGTTTTTTTCATTCCAATTCTCATGTTTTATTTTTTACCACTTACTCATTTGTGAATTCTACATTTCCAAGTACACCTGGAGAATGTAAATTTTTCTGGCCTGCCACTGGCTACTTTTTTACTTACTTTATTTTACTACCTCGATGAGCTTTGTGTTAGCCTCCTGAATGCCCCTTGTCAGGGGCTCCTTTTGCCTCCTGTGATGGCATGGGCTCCCAGATTAACCCTTCTTGCTCTACATCAGTATAACTAAGTGGGTGCAAGCACATGTTATCCCAGGGACCTACATCCATTCAAGTCATAGATTTGCCTCTTCATTAACAACTGTCTGTGGCCAAGTGACTTAACTTGCCTCATTTGCTTGTCTTTAAATTAGATTTATAGACAGTGCCTATTGTAAAATAAATTGAGGATAAAATGGGAAAGAATATAAAAGGTACTTAGCACGTTTATTCAGCTTAGAATCATTACTTGATAAATGTGTTTTTATTTATTAAATTACATTTTCTGTTTTAGAAAATCTAGCTTTTAAATGTTTTTGAAATAACTGGTGTAAAATTTTGCCAAATGTTTTCATAAAATTATTTTTGTATTTGTTTAACCTCTACTCCTCTTCTAAAACTTAAATGTGTTTTTTTATTAGACTTTCCATGGTTTTGTTCATCTTAAATATGCAGTTCTTGACTTCATTTATCAATTCTATTTTCATTTGCTTTACAACTTGAGTACTTATGATAACCAGAAACTTTTCCCTATGATTAACCATATGTATGGTTTATCATTTAATGCCCATGACAATATACTTTTATTATTTCTGTATCAGAAGTGAGGAAATATACACATAGTACTACCAGTTAGTGACAAGACCAGGATACATGCTCAGCATAGTTCTATAGTATATGCACTTGGATTTAAAGTTGTATTATTTATTTATTATTTCCAAAAGTCTGAAGGGTTACATAATTTAAACAACCATTAAAACTGTATACATACTTTGAACTTCCAATAATTCTGGGGAAAACAAGTAACCTTAAAACTCATAGTTACATTTTTTAGTTTTATATTTTCCCAGGTTGGAAAGAACTTAATATTTTGTCTTAATTGAAATATTTTAATTATGAGGTTATAGAAGGATTTAAAGTGAAGCTCTATCTGTTGATGGAAAAACCAACTGAAATGAAAACTAGTAAAAGATGTTTTGTCATATTAACATAATGTAATACTCAGGCATTCGTGGAGATTTAATTATGATTTTAAATATATATATATTTCATCTATATGTTTTTACATTTTATGTTAAAATAACAGCAACCTTTTTGTGTTTGTTTTTTTCTTAGATAAGCCCCAAAAGTGATGTTTGGTCCTTAGGATGTATTTTGTACTATATGACTTACGGGAAGACACCATTTCAGCATATAATTAATCAGATTTCTAAATTGCATGCCATAATTGATCCTAATCATGAAATTGAATTTCCTGATATTCCAGAGATAGATCTTCAAGATGTGTTAAAGGTAATATTAATTTCATATAACTAATTATTTACTTAAAAGAAATAGCTGAAATGATTGGAATTATGTAACTGGCTTAGATATAACTATTCTATTCAAAGGAATTGCTAACTGAATTAATTTTTTTACTTTGAAGATGTTTTAAAGCTTATAAATACTTGGAGATTTTGCAGAAGTGCCTTGGGAGAAATAATCTTGCCATCATTTGAATGGGCTATCTGAAAAGCAACTTTTATAATATAGTCTGGAAAAATACTTCATCAATATCACATGTGAAAACCTGCTTTGTTTTTCTTTTAAAAATTTTTTTGTTTTTATAGTGTTGTTTAATAAGGGACCCTAAACAGAGGATATCCATTCCTGAGCTCCTGGCTCATCCATACGTTCAAATTCAAACTCATCCAGGTACTACTTCTTTAAAACTTTGTTTATTACTAGATTAGTAACATAAACAGTCTGTTACCTATTTATATAACAGAAACAGAATCTGAATTGGCTACTCTTGGTCAGCCTACCTCTTTCCTTAAGGAAGTTCCATTATTATAAAAAGTAAATAAACTTTTTTCTTTACTTCTGGTATTCATTTTTACTTATTCTAGATAAGGGGTATAATCAGTGTGTCACTTATGCTGTTAATCAAAACATGTATTTATAATGGACATATTATTTTTCTTATTGGTACTAGTGTACTATTGATTTATTTTACAGGTAAACAAATAGCCAAGGGAACCACTGAAGAAATGAAATATGTTCTTGGCCAACTTGTTGGTCTGAATTCTCCTAACTCTATTTTGAAAGCTGCTAAAGTAAGTATGTCTGCTCTTGGCTGGGCGTAGTGGCTCACACCTGTAATCCAAGCACTTTGGAGGCCAAGGCGGGTGGATCACCTGAGGTCGGGAGTTCAAGACCAGCCTGACCAACATGGTGAAACCCCGTCTTAAAAAAAAAAAGTATGTCTGCTCTTTACATGAATTTTAACTGTTTTATATAGTGAATTAGACATTTAAAAAAACAGGTAGTCTGAAGAAAAGTTGGCCCTATCATCAGATCAGTTATGAAGCATATTTCTACATTTAGATACTTAACATGCATTTTGACAAATACAGATCTACTTGATTTATATTCTTGTGCATACAGCACAGTTCAAAGTAGATTGTCACATAAGGTGCATTCAAAAGATTGCTGTCAGGTCTCAACTGGAATAAATTTAATATAGGAACGTAATGTGTCTTTTAACTCAGCACCATTATTAACACAACTTTAGAATTTATTCCTTTTAGCCAGTTTTTTCCTTAGAGACATTACATGTAATGGCTTTTTTGAAGCTGTACACAGCAGTCAACACAACTCTCAAAGCACAAGTCTTAAGCTTTTTAGCCTCACAGTGTCCATTTATATCTATACCATGATTTTTAGATCTTACTGTTATCAAACACCTAGTCATTTCTAGAACCCTATAAATGCTATTGATCAACTGGTTTAGCTACCAAGCAGTTACTGATAGTATATTTCAGTTACAACATTATCATAAAATGATGGGAACTTAAACTATCAATACTTGTAGCCCTCTGGATAGGTAGGTAGTCCATCTGAGTTGCCAAGAGCTTGAATGCCTTTCTGAAGGACTTTACTGTACATTCACTGTATTTGCATTCATATGATATGAAGTAACTGTTTTTTTAAATTTTCTCAAATGCTAATGGCTAAAGCAATAGATATAGTAATTAAAATTTGACAAAATTTGTTTTGTAATTGCTCTGTTATTTTGTATCTCCATGTTTTAAATTTATACTGATATATTGTTAAAAGCCTCTTATAGGTATAATTGAGGTGGATTAGTTATTTTTATCACTGAAGTTGTATGTTGCTTGAGGGCAAAGATGTCTACCATCTTCATAAGTTAGTTGTTAGCTGATTCTTAAATAACTTTTAAATATACAGATTTCAGTATATATCTATTATACTTATATAATAATTTGTAATCTCTTCTATTTGTTAGTTTAAATATCATCTGATAATATAAAGTTTCCCTATAAATATATTTTGTATAGGAATTTACCTAAGACTGGCTTTATTTAAGAAAAAGTAAGAGAGAGAAAGAAGGCCTTGAAGGCTCATATGTGTGTTAATTAGTAGCTCTGTTATATTTCTCTCATAGAAAGATTGAGTTCTATCTTAGGATAGGTAATGCTTAAGTCCAAGCTTGATGTTTAAAATTCTTTATTATCTCGAATAGCTTTATAAAATAGTTTCCCAATTATAAGAATAAGAGAGAAATTTACTATATTTAGAATATATCCAAATACATCTACTAATATGACAGTACATTGAACTAAAATATTACAAAACAGATTTGTGTTTTTAAATTTCAGACTTTATATGAACACTATAGTGGTGGTGAAAGTCATAATTCTTCATCATCCAAGACTTTTGAAAAAAAGTGGGAAAAAAAATGATTTGTAGTTACTGGTAAACTGTTAAATACCACCTATAAAATATATTGGATTGTTACACTCGAGCCTCTGTGGAAATCTACAATTGAAGACAACATCACTCTGAAGTGTTATCAGCAAAAAAATTCAGCAGATTATTTTCAAAAGAAAACTGTAAAAATAGCAACCACTTACAGCACTGTATATATTGTAGAATGGTTTTCTGTGTTTTGTGCGCTTGTGTAATCTGTTTGATATCATTTCACTCTTGGAATAGTGGGTGTAAAACAAATATATTCTGAAAAACTTTGTAAATAAAGTTTTGTGGCATAAAATGACACTAAAATTTCAAAGTTGTAAAATTATTTTCTTTAAGCAAATGTATTGTTGGCATGGCAGCAAAATTCTTAATTAGTAAAAAGTACATTAGGGAAGATGTGAGACTAGAACTTAGTAAATGAACTTTGAAAAACAAATCCTAATGGGTTTGAATTCTAAAATAGACTTCCTAATTATTTCTGGCACTGATAGCAGTCTATAATTTTAGGGCTGAACTTGGCTTTTTCAGATGTTGCTTTTGGTTTTTAGAATATCATGCTGGATTCTGTAATGTAGGCTGTATAGGGCATGCCCTCACTGTATGACTTGCTTGGTAATGGATAATTATAAATGTGGCCCCAGAGTCTCTTGACTTTCTCTAATAGCTTAAAGTATCTTCACATAGTATCCTTTTCTCAACTTTTGAAAAGAGATTTTAATAGATTTTATTTTTTAGAGCAGTTTTAAGTTCACAGCAAAATCGAGCAGAAAGTACAGAGTTCCCATGTATCCTCTCCCCACCCCACCCTCACACACATATAACCTCCCTTGCTATCAGCATCCACCATATCAAAATTCCACACCGCAGTGGTACATTTATTACAGTCCGTAAACCAACCTTAACAAATTATCACCCAAAGTCCTTAGTTTACATTGGGGTTCACTTTTGGTATTGTATATTCGTTGGGTTTTGACAAATATATAATTACATTTATCTACCATTATAACATCATGCAAAATAGTTTCACTGCCTTGAAAATCCTCTGTTATTTGTTTCTTTGTCTTTCCCTCTACCCTAATGCCTGGGAACCACCGATCTTTTTTACTATCTCTATAGTTTTGCTTTTCTAGAATGTGAATGTCATTCAAGTGGAATCATACAGTCTAGTAGATTGGCTTCTTTCACTTGGTAACATGTCTTATGGCTTGATAGCTTGTTTCTTTTTAGCACTGGTTAATATTCTGTTGTCTGGATGTTCCACAGTTTATCTCCTCATCTACTGAAAGATACCATGGTTGCTTCCAAATTTGGAGAATTGTGAATAAAGTTGCTAAAAATATTCATGTGTAGGTTTTTGTGTGGACCTAATTTTTTAGCTCCTTTGGCTATATACTCCTTTGGGACCAAGGAGCTTGCTAAATTCTATGTAAGAGTGTTTAGTTGTGTAAGAAAATGCCAAACTGTCTTTGAAAGTGGCTGTATCGTTTTGCATTTTCGCCAGCAATGTTTGAGAGTTACTGTGGCTTTATATCCTTTCCAGCCTTTGATGTCTGTGTTTTGGATTTGGGGCATTCTAATCGGTAGGTAGGGGTATCTCATTTTAATTTGCATTTCCCTAATGACATGATGATGACCATCTCATTTTTATGTGCTCATTTGCTATCTGTGTATCTTCTTTTGCCCATTCTTAAATTGGTTGATTTTCTTATAGCTAAGGTTTAAGAGTTCTGTGTATTTTGAATAACAGTTCTTTATCAGATGTGTCTTTTGCACATATTTTTTTCCCACTTGTATTTCTTTCCATTGTCTTCATTCCCAAATTTATAACTGTGGTTATTCATTTTCAGGGTTATTGGTTTTAAATTAATGTAGTGTAATAGATAAGTAGAAAGCTTAAACAGGAATTCTGCAAACTACATTCATAGAGAAAACATGGCAAAAATTCAACCTGTAAGTCAGGCATTTGCCTATATGTGTTCATTGAGAATACTATTTATTTTTTCTTTTTAAAATTATCTTGAAATTTGCTGTGTATATAAACAATTTTTTTAAATACCTGTCATGTTTAGAGTTAGAAATTCTCTTATGGGCAAAGCATTTGTCACCTGTGGATCTAGAATAAATAACTCAGTTTGTATATTTCATTATTGAAAGTCAGCTGTTTCCTTTGAAATTAAGCATGTGAGAACTAATATCTGGATTCACGTATTCCTGAAGCTTGCTTTTCCTCTTAACCAGATTGAATCAGCTATATGCTAGCACTGTATAAGTTATAAAAGCCAGCTAAGGTACAAAATTTAATTATGTCATCAGTGCTTTACTAATTTGATAGTCTTTATAGTAAATCTCATATACACACCGAATTTCAAGAGTTAGTGTATCCTAGTTTTTGATAAGAAAAAATTTCATTGGCAATTTTCGTTCCCATCTACTCTGCCTAGGCTAAATAAAGGAGTCTTCTTTAATAGGGTTTTCTGAGTATTGTTTAGTTGTTGTTTTGCTCTGAACCTGCTTGGAATTTTTGTATTTAGTACTTATACAGTGTGACCAGGTGGAATGAGCACTGGGAAGGACTCGGCTCTAACGGAGCATTCTCTCCAGCAAGTTTTGTGGGCTGACTAGTCACTGAATATCTTTGGAACTTGGTTTTCTTTATTAGTAAAATGAGAAGAGTGAACTAAATGCTCTCTTAGGTCTCTTCTTAGTCTTAAGTCTATAAAATATATATTTAGACGATGAATAGTTACTAAATGTAGGAAGAAAAGGAAAACAATTTTTTTTTTGAGATGGAGTTTCACTCTTGTTGCCCAAGGTAGAGTGCAATGGTGCGATCTTGGTTCATTGCAACCTCCATCTCCTGAGTTCAAGCAGTTGTCCTGCCTCAGCCTCCTGAGTAGCTGGGATTACAGGCATGCGCCACCATGCGTGGCTGATTTGGTGAGGCTGGTCTTGAACTCCCAACCTCAGGTGATCTGCCCGCCTTGGCCTCCGAAAGTGCTGGGATGACAGGCATGAGCCACTGCGCCCAGTCCAATTTTCATAACTATGGTAACAACTTTTCCACATGAATATAAAATTAGGAAGCTGGATTTGGGGTTCTGAAGTTTCCTTGAACCTAGAAAAGTACAAAAGAAAAGGGGCCTTTTTCCTCTCAGCTTTAGGTACTTAGGCCCAGTCTAGTTCCCACCATTCCAGTATTGACTATCCTTCACATCCAAAGAGAAAAACTATTGGAGTGCTTGGGTGCTCTGACCTCTTCCCCACCTGTTCTGTGTGCTGGTTGAATGGAGCTGTGGCCAGAATTGGAGAAAGGGCCTTAAAAGAGAATGTGCTGTGAGCTAGACGGGCAGTTTAATTTTGTCGTAAAATTTTGGTTTTCTGTTTTTTCATCTTTAGTGGTGTCAGATTGTCAGTGAAAAATCCCAGCACCACATCTACCAAAAACAGACTCAGGTGCTTAGAATACTGTGAACAGAAAACTCAGTCCATGTTTTCTAGGAGCTTTTTGCCTAATGGGAGAGAGATTTCCACCAATACTCATTCTCTTGGGCTATCATTCTGTCTCATGATTTTAAAGACCGTATGCTCATGTATAATTCCCCTATTTATATCTCTAACCTGGACTTATCTCTTGGACTCTAGACTTAGACATTGAGTTGACTACTTGACATCTCCACTTGGATGTCTGGTAAACATCTCAGATTCAACATATGCAAAACAAAATTGACCCTGACGGAAGCTGCTCTGCTCAGATTCCGTCTCAGCTGATGGCAATTCCATCCTTCCAGTTACTGAGCTCTAAAACCTTGAAATCATGTTTAGTTCCTCTTTTCTTTTTTACAGCCTACATCCAGCCCATCAGGAAATGGGTTGCCCCTATTTTCAAAACATATCTGCAATCTGACCCGTTCCTGCCTCCTCCCTGCTGCCAACCTGTCTGAGCGTTCTCTCTCACCTGGAGTACTGTAACAACCTCCAAACTGGTCGTCTTGCCTCCGCTTTATACCATTATAGTCTATTCTCCAAATGACAGCCAAGGTGACCAATTTAAAATAAATTATGGTCAGATTTTGTCATTCCTCTTTTCAATACCTTACAGTGGCTTTCAATTTCACTCAGACTAAAGGCCGATGTCCTTCGAATGGCCTACCAAGCCGTGCGTGGTCTGGTCTCCTGCAACTTGTCTGATTCGTCACCTACTTTTGCCCTGGTTCCTTCTGGTTGATTAATGCTAAATTAAAATGTTTTTAAGAAAAAAAAAATATTGCTAAATAATTAGCCATATTCCCATTTAAGGCAACACATATTCTACACCTGGGAAATAGGAAACTATGTCCATTCCCAGTTTACGGTCAGGCCTGTCTTCTCTGGATTTGTGGTAGTAACAGGACTTGGCATTTCTTAAACAGCCTTAAATGACATATATGAACGGAGGGAGTTTTTTGAGAGCATCCCTAGTCTGAGAAGGTATTTCTGTGAGGTGAAACGGTGATCACTGTGTGTCTGTAGATTTACAAACCTTGAGTAAAGGGAGGTATGGATAAAAGTAACCAGTGCTTAATGTTTTCCAGTAACTCAGAATCCATGCTGATGTTTAACCAATTTTCAGCATCTTCACCTGTGTATACATTTTTCTTAATAGTGTTAGAGATCCAGAGTATTTCAAGTGCTATGACCTGCCTGCTCAGAGCCTCCAAAGCTGCAACCCCCTCCTTGTCCTGGAGAAGTTCAGCAGACATTTATCTGCACATTGATTCAGCTGGGGAACTTTTAAAACAGGCCAGCACCAGTTCAAACCAATTAAATAGGGAAACAGCCCCTCCCTTGGCCATCCCTTGGACCTAAGGATGAGCCTATCCAGGGCATGTTTTACCTTTTTCATGATTGGCTAGGCAAGAAACTTATGCAGGTCCTGGAAACAGGCTGGAAGGGCATTTCAAAATCTTAAGAATCTGGAATGCAATCTGGACAGGGGAGTAGGACATCTGGGTGGGCATATTTTTTGGTCCTGTAGATTCCTGGTCCCACAGACAGTGGCTAGAGGAGGTCAGACAGGGCGCTCCCAGGTGGGGTCTGATGATCAGGGCTCCTACTTGTCTGGCTCTAAGAACGTTTTGGCTGGCGGGGCACGGTGGCTCACACCTGTAATCAATCCCAGCTCTTTGAGAGGCCAAGGTGGGTGGATCACCAGAGATCAGGAGTTGGAGACTAGCCTGGTCAACATAGTGAAACCCTGTCTCTACTACAAATACAAAAAATTAGCCAGGCATGGTGGTGCACACTTGTAATCCCAGCTACTCAGGAGGCT